AGCCATTGGGATATATAACCCTGAAATGTTTTCGTAAAGATCTGGTTTGTAATGTTAGATTTTTGGTTGTAGATCTTGATTCTGAGCCTTTACTAGGATTATCTGATTGTGTTAACTTGAATATGATATCTCGTATAAATCATGTCTTGAATGAAGTATTAAACAAAAGTGAATCATTACCTGCACATAAGAAAGATCTGCTTGAAAGGTACAAGCAAGTCTTTGAAGGACTTGGTTGTATGCCTGGGTTTGTGGAAATAAAATTAAAATTAGATGCAAAACCTGTAATTCAAAATCAAAGAAAAGTGCCATTGGCCTTACATGAGAAATTGAAAAATGCACTTGACGACCTTGAATATAAAAATGTTATCTCAAAAGTTGATTATCCAACAGACTGGGTGAACTCTCTGATGATTGTAGAAAAACCTAATGGATCACTTCGTCTTTGCCTAGATCCTAAACCACTAAACAGATATATCTGTAGAGAATATTATATGATACCAAAGTGTGATGATATATTAAGTAGACTAGAAGGAAAAAAAGTTTTTTCTGTTATAGATATGAAGGACGGATTTTGGCAAATACAACTTACAGAAAGTAGTTCAAAACTTTGCACCTTCAATACTCCGTTTGGCAGGTATAAATTCAACAGAGTACCTTTTGGATTATGTAATATTCCAGAAATTTTCCAGCGTAAAAATATGGAAATTTTTGGGGATATACCTAATGTAAACATCTATTTTGATGATTTAATTATTAGTGGTACTAATGAACACACCCATGATGAGGCATTTAAAACTGTAATTGAAAGAGCTTTGAGATATAATATAAAATTCAATTTTGATAAGTTGCAGTACAAATAAGACCAAGTTATATTCTTAGGTCATGTTATCTCAAAGAATGGGGTTCAACCATCACAAAAAAATATTGAAGCAGTATTATCTATTGAAACTCCTAATAATAAGAAAGATTTGCTCAGAATTCTCGGGCTTTTCAAATTTTTTTCTAAATTTCTACCAAATCTTTCACAGTTAACTTTTCACATGAGAAATCTAACAAGGAATGATGTACGATTTGAATGGCTTGAGGTGCATCAAGAAGAATTGGAAACCTTGAAAACCATAATAACTAATAAACCAGTATTTAAGATTTTTGATGAAAACAAACCAATAGTAATTCAAACAGATGCGTCTAGCAAAGGCATTGGTGGCGTTATGATGCAAGATATGCATCCTATTTCTTTTGCATCAAGATCAATGAATAATGCTGAAATTAAATATGCACAAATAGAAAAAGAATTATTAAGTATAGTCTTTGCCTGTGAAAAATTTCATTTCTGGATATACGGTCGTGAGGTTAATGTGCAAACTGACCATAAGCCTCTAATTTCCATTTTTCAGAAGAATCTCGATGATGTTAGTGCTCGCTTACAAAGGATGCTACTTAAACTACTTAAATATAAAATAAAAGTTGAATACTTACCAGGATCTAAAATGCATGTAGCTGATGCTTTGAGTAGGTCATTTATCAAAACAGAAAGTCCTATTGATCATGAGTTAGAATATAGAATACATGCACTCTCTCTATCCATACCAATGTCAGAAGAAAAAAAAGCGGGTTTTCAGGATGAAATTGATAAAGATTATATTTTGTCAAAAGTTAAAAAGTCCTGTTTGACAGAATGGCCTAAAAATACTAAAAATATGGATGGTAATTTGAAAGTTTTCTACAATTTAAGAGATAATATTTATTCATCAAATGGGTTGCTTTTCTACAATTCAAAAATCATTGTACCCACAGAGCTCAGGAATCAAATGCTTCAACTGATACACTCTGCACACTTTGGAATGCAAAAATGTAAACTTAGAGCTCGTGAGATAATGTTTTGGCCAAAGATCTCCAGAGATATAGAAGATATTGTGAATAAATGTGAAACATGTCAAATCAATAGACCGGCCAATCAGAAAGAAACTCTTGTAACACACAATATTCCAGAAAGACCATGGCAATATTTGTATTCAGATTTTTTCGAATTTAATGCCAAACCGTATATGCTGATTGTTGACTCCTATTCTCATTGGTTGGAGATTTTTCCTGTTGAACATAAAACTGCTAAAACTGTTATACAATGTTGTAAGGATATTTTTTCAAAGTTTGGGGTACCTGATATTTTCTATGCAGATAATAATCCCTACAATAGTATTATTTTCAAAGATTTTGCTAAAGCTTGGAATTTTGAGTTGGAATTTTCAAGTCCTTACCATCATCAGTCCAATGGGTTGGCAGAAAAGTATGTGGATATATCAAAAAACATGTTGAGAAAAATGAAAAGCACAGATGATTTATCATACTTTTTACTAGAGTATCGAAATACTCCCCTACCCAGCATAGGTTTTGCTCCTTCTCAATTACTTTCGAATAGATATGTAAAAACAAAAATTCCTACTTCTTCAGAGGTCTTAGCGCCAAAGATAATTGAAAATTATATTGTTTCATCACAGTTATCAAATAATTCACAAAAAACCAAGCAAGACTATGATAAAAGTGCTAAGGACTTACCTACTTTAAAGGAAAATGATAACATACTATTCCAAAAAAATAACCAATGGAATAAAGGAAAAGTGATTAAGGAATATAACGATCGGTCATATTTGGTAAGAGATACTAAAGGCAAGGAATTTAGACGAAATAGAAGATATATAAACAAAACCAACCTCAATGTAGATAGTAGTGATTCAATCTTGTATGATGATTTGTACTTGGATATTTCTGAAACCATTGTAGTTAGTTTAGGCGTAGCTAGCAACAATGAGCAAGCTTTGATTGTAGCTGAGAATGATGTTGATCTAGGATTAAGTGAGCATACGGATGTTTTATCAATTCCAGACTCAAGTGAGGCACAAAATGATTTTGAAACTCCAAATAACTCACTTTTAGATATAGACTCTTCAAATACAGAAACTAGTGAAGCTATTGATAATACATCCGGAAGCTCTGTTGAAATTGAGGAAACAAGTGAATCTTTCAACTCAGATCTATCTCCAGCTGCTCCAGAAGAAACCATTACTCGAACTCGTCGAGGTAAGGCCCCAGATTATTTGAATGATTATGTAAAATAATATTAAAAGCCTGTTGTATAATAGTCTTAAGTTTGTGAGTTTGTGCATGTACCTGTCTGTTGTTTATATCTAGTTCTGTTCGTTCTATGCTTGTCTGTGTGTCATAGGTTTAAGTTATCTTGTGTCAAATGTCAAGGATTTTGATCACATGATCAGAATTGTAAAATGGTATTATAATCATAAATTAAAAGTAATAAACCAAAAACTACATAAGTGTTAATAATTTATTGATAAAATACAACACCTAGGGTCGATGTGGTGGTATCGCACCAGGCGATGGTGTTAGCCATCTTCCATACATAACGCGCTGACAAGAACATGGTGACTAAGATATGATATATTATTAATTATTTAGGCAATTAAAATATGTATACAGGGTTTTCAAACTTGAGTCGGCACTAAGGCCAACTTGGTTATCATTGGAGCTTTAATGTCAGCTAAATGAGCAAACTAGTAATATTTTTTCTGTAGATTACGATGATGAAATCTAGAGGAAAATCGAACATCGCGTTCACGAGTTAATCAAAAGGTTCATTTTTTTTCAATAGAACACCCAGTATACAATATTCTTAATCGATATGAAATTCGATGTTCAACAAAAACTGTCCTATATCCTTTTGTCCTAAATTCAAAAACCATGATTTTTCAAATTTCTGTTCATGAGACAACTCTTGTTCAGAATCGAATTTCCTATCGATTAAGAATATTGTATACTAATTGTCCCATTTTAATAATCAATAGGATTGAAAAATTTAAAAAAGAATTTAGGAAACATCTACTCCGGCAATATTGACATCTCATCTCATTTTTATAGTTTTCTTGTATGTACAACTTCTATAGTTTTCTATTGGATACCTAACTGCTAAGTCAATTAAGAATCATTTTCAGTCGAACTTGAAAAAATAAAATAAAAAGATTCTTCTTGAGTGTGAGTCTTATTTTACTGTCTTATTTTTTTGTGTCAAATATATTTATGTATTCACCATGTTCTCTGCTATAAACAAATGTTGTTTTTTGGGAATAATAAAGTTGATTGATTGATTGAAATTGAACTTTTTGAAGTTACTCGTGAACGCGATCTTACATTTTCGTTTCGTTTTCTTCATCTTAATCAGGGGAGAAATTGGAGTTTGTCTAAGTTTGGTTGCCTACACTACAATCATGCATTAATAGACAAATTGATACACAATAGGGTCATTAACGATCAGTTTTATAAATCTTAAACATACTCGTTGATACGAGTTCGACGGGAAACATAATAATATCTTTTTTCTGTGACGGGAAAAAAGTTTGGCATTACATCTCTCTTGTCAGGTTATAAAATATCACTTTCCATAAATTACTTTTTTCCCGTGGGTCAAAAGTGAGTACTTTTTTCCCGGATATATATCACATATATATGCACTGTTGATGGCTTTTGTTGTGCTATAGTTCCGAAAAATGAGTCAATAATACTGCCTCCGAGAAAGAACTGCAAGTCCTTTTATCTTCCATTCGACTTCGCGGTTACGTATATTACTAAACAACCACTAAATTCTCAATTTTTTCAAATCAAATCACAGAGTTAGACTGACAGAAGTGACATCAGATATTTGATTACTTCAAAATAATGATGAAGATGCCTACAACGCAGGTGTCCCTACTGTTAAAAAACTTAAAATTCCACGTCGATAAATTTCAGATTTCAAAATAATGTAATATCTTCTCAATATTGATTCTTCCTTTCTTCTCTCACAGAAAAAAATAGTGTATTATACACGGAAAAAATATTAGATTTTAGCTCCCGACGCGTAGCGGAGCTAAAATCTACCACTTTTTTCCCTTGTATAGTAAATAACTATTTTAATTTCTTCTCTCGAATTGACTCGTCCGTTTTTCCAGGACCCCAAAGTGTACGTGAACACGATCCTCGAGGTGCATAAGAAGTACAACGCCTTGGTGCTGGTCGCGTTCGGCAACGACAGCGGCTTCGTGGCGGCGCTCGACAAGGCGTGCGGCCGCTTCATCAACGCCAACGCCGTCACCAGGCAGGCGAACTCGAGCAGCAAGTCGCCCGAGTTGCTCGCCAAGTATTGCGATCTGCTGTTGAAGAAGTCGAATAAGAACGCGGAGGAGGCGGAGCTGGAGGACACGCTGAACCAGGTGGTGAGTGACAGTCGCCTCTTTGCTATCTGCTATTGGAAGATTGGATATGCATTATTCGCCAGAATGAAAGATAATTGAATGAGACAGAGTGAGTAAGAATGATACCCACAAACGTATCCAGATTCCTCACATTATTTCGAAGTATAAATTCCTATCAACGAATTTCCTCAAATGCATTCTGTCTGAATTATAGGCTTCTGAAATTTGATTGTGTGATAATTTAAAACTTGTAAAAAAGTATTATAGTTTCAATATACATTTCCCTCCATTTTTTCTCTGACAAGATGATGGACAAGTAAAAAAAAGACCGGATGTTCATTGTCAATTCAATTCATTTATTTTTCTCAAGACATACATATATATATAGAAATCGTCACAATTTTACATACACACCTACCTAACACATCTAACAAAAAATAAATAAAACTGATTAAAATATACAGAGAGAAAGAAGGAGAGAAAAAAACTATCTATGAGTCGAAGAATTCATCAAGGTTGTAGTAACATTTATCCAATAAATATATTTTCAGCAATTGAGAAAATTCATTAAAATTTGTTTTCAGTTATACTCTTTGGTAATTTATTAAAAATTACGAGTCCCATTCTTTTGAGATTTTATATTTTCGATAAGGAACGTGAAAATCATGTTTTTGATGAGTGTTCATTTTGTGAATTTCCTCATTGATGATGAATTTTTGTTTATTTTTGAAAATATAAACTGACATTTCGAATATGTTCATTGAGAATAGTGTCAGAATTTTGAAATCTTTGAATGAGTTTCTACAGAAAAAATTTCTAGGAACTCTAGCTATCCCTCTTACGCTGGTAATGCAGGCGACACAGCACAGGGTAGCACGTTATAGTAAACACATATTTTGAGGGTATCTACGCAGATTATGATGCTTAAAAAAAGGGTTGTTGATAAAATCATATATATATATATCATGGGAGCAAAGGTTCATTTCCTTCCAGGTGTGTTTAATTTCCTCCGCTACGCGTCGTGCTTCAAAATTCACACGCCGGAGGAAATGGATACCTTTTCTCCCTTGATATATAAATAGCTAATATACACCTCTGGACCAGAGTGTTTTTGAATCCTTCAACTAATTATAATCCTCCTGTTGGTCGAGCTATACACTTTTGACTCGGGATTTGAAATAACACTAGTGTATAATGTACTATTGTAGAACCAATTAATTATTTATTGGTGAAAGTTTATTCAACTTCCGCGACTCCAGTATTCAACTTCTTGACGATTTCAACATGTTTTATTCTTTATTCAGATGGTAGTTTTCAAGTATATAGAAGATAAGGACGTCTTCCAAAAGTTCTACAGTAAAATGCTGGCCAAACGACTTGTCCAGCATATGTCGGCTAGTGATGATGCAGAAGCGTCGATGATCTCGAAACTCAAGCAGGCTTGTGGTTTCGAATACACCTCAAAACTGCAAAGAATGTTCCAGGTGAGATACATAACTCCTAAAATTGAGATCATATATATTTGTTTCATCATTTATTTTTAGGATATTGGTGTATCAAAAGATTTGAATGAACAGTTCAGAAATCACCTAGTTAGATCAAACGAATCTTTAGGAATAGATTTTAGTATTCAAGTATTATCTTCAGGTTCCTGGCCTTTCCAACAGTCCTTCACTTTTGGTCTGCCTTCGGAGGTGAGCTCTCAATTTTCGATATTATATTTTCATTCATTTAATTATTTTCAGTTGGAAAGAAGCATACATAGATTTACGAATTTTTACTCTGGTCAGCACTCAGGGAGAAAACTCAACTGGCTTTACAATATGTCCAAAGGAGAACTGAACACAAATTGCTTTAAAAATAGGTATGTGAACTCAAAAAATTATGTTATATTGTGCAAAATCTTCATAATGTGCTTTTAAGGTATACTCTACAAGCTAGCACTTTTCAAATGGCTGTTTTGCTACAGTACAATGTATCAGACAGTTGGACAATAGCTCAACTCGAAGAAAACACCCAAATCAAATGCGATTTTCTCATACAAGTTTTACAAATATTACTCAAGGCCAAACTACTCTCTTGCGAAGATGACGAAAATGACCTGAACCTCAACTCTACTGTGAACCTCCACTTAGGATTCAAAAAGTAAGAAACATTCTTGTTACTCTGAAACATCATGATATATTTTATTGTTGAGTGAGTTCTCTGATTTAGCACTATCTCAGTTTCTCCATTTGAATGATGCAAAGAAATTCAAACTGTGGTTTCTACTGAAAATAGAGCTTTGACGGTAACATCTCAACGACCATTACCACTTCCACAAAGACTTCATGCCAAAACTCCTCAAATTATTTCAACAAAAAGTAAGCCAGATCTTCCCTCCAAAACATCTAGTCATGGCCCTTCCCAAGCATACCAACCATCTGAACAGAAGGGAATGACACATTGCTAGATCTGAACATCTATATTTCCCGAATTTGATAAGAATTCAGGACAGGTTTCCCACAGCTTCAATATCAATTCATCCAGCTGCGGTTCCTTTTCCAGCGCAACAGACTAATCATCTACCTACAGAAGCTATCGTGCCCTTATCAACACAGCAGACTCCTTTCCCAGTTCAGCAGCCTAGTTTAGTTTAGTTTATTTATTGGTAAAGTATAACACATAGTGCTTTTACAGGTCAATAGGGTCAATAGGGTAGTTAGACTAAAGGCTATGTATTGTGTATTGCAGAAAACAAGTGCTGTCTACTACATAGTAAGAGGCCATTCCATTTTGCAAATCATGTTTTCTGGTTAATTTTTCTGGAAGACAAGCGATTCTTTCAATGAATCTCACCAGTCGGCGCTACTGAAGCTTGAGGTCTATGTCAATATTGAAATTTCCCAAATTTTGCTGGATAACCCTGAAGGCTCAGGCATGTTTCTCCGTAGATCATGAAAAATAGTTGTGTGTTCTATTGCAAGCGAATACAAAAACTTTAGATATGGTTGGGTTTGAGTAGCCGTGGGATTTCAACTTTCAATGTGAAGCTCTACCAACGACTTTTACATTAACGGAAAAGATATCCAAAAGTAATGGCCACATGAAATGTGGTGGACAATCAGACCATGTTAGCTCTCTTTGGCACATAACATATAGGTCGACCGTGTAATTCGTTGATAAGGCAATAACATGGTATTAGTAGTTTTCGAAACTGCTGAAGTATCATGGGCACCTATAAGTGTACGCCCTTTTTATGCCAACGCATTCTGCAAATATGCTTCTTTCAAATCTGATAGACAGATCTTTATTGGGAAATTATCCAAAAGGCTGTCGACCAAAGTCTTTCACCCTATTCACAAACTTATACATTATGATTTCTAAATATATAAAATTATCCTAATAGAGTATAGATTGTTGAAAAAAATAATTTATATAGTAGTAAATTACGAAACATTAGTCTTCCTGCTGCAGCTGGAGTAAACCTTGGTAGATGGTGGTTTCTGGGTATTTATGTTTTCTTCTTTATACTGGGGTGGAAATGATTTGTGGTGTTTGATCATTTACAAATCTATTTTTCCTAATATCTAATTTTTTGAATTTTAATTCATTTTTCTATGAATTAAATTCAATTTGGATCTGATATACAAGAACTTGAGTTTCAAGTCAAATCTGAACCTGTAAAAATAAATAATTTTTCAGTAAAAAGCTTCGTGTGAATATCAATGTTCCAATGAAAACAGAACTGAAAATGGAACAAGAAACAACACACAAGCACATAGAAGAGGATAGAAAACTGTTGATACAGGCAGCGATCGTAAGAATAATGAAAATGCGGAAGGTGCTGAAACATCAACAGCTAGTTGCCGAAGTACTGAATCAACTCTCATCTAGGTTTAAACCAAGAGTCCACATCATAAAGGTAAGTTAATTGGATTGAAATAGTATACACTATACTATTTTTGTGGCTGTAATACATAGTTGCGAAATTTTTTATTCATCGGGCTTGTAGCCATCTGATATTAGAATAGAATATAATTTATTCATATCACCCAGGTGCTATCATAGATGGATGTATACGTCAAAGTAAAGGTACAGGTCTAAAATACAATACATCTCAGTAAACAAAATTAAAATCTACAAAACAATAGCACTAGTTAATAATATATGTGAACAAGGGCAATTAATATTGATAAACAATTATGTTGGACTCTACATATAGATCATTTGAGAAAAAAACTGAATCCTATTGCTGGTATTATATATAAAATTCGAAATTTCATTCCTGTTAGATACCTAAAGAGTATTGATTTCTGTCATATTTATTCAAATTTACAATATCTAATATCTGTTTGGGAAAGTGCAAATATTTCACGTTTGAAGCCACTCATGAAATTACAAAATAAAACAATAAAGTGCATTTTCAATTTACCTTTTTTAGAATCAACTGTAGATCTATACAAACCTAAAGACTTGCTGAATCTAGTTTCATTATATAAACTCAACATTTGTTGTTTTATCCATTTTGTCAGGAAGGAATTGAAAATATCAAATTTGAATTTTGATGAAGTTAATACGATTCACGCCCATGAAACAAGGCAATTTAATTTATTGATAGCAAATAATTATAATTCAAATTTCGGTAAACAATCAATATTCCATAATGGAATATTTTTATATAACTCCTTATCAATGAACAGCGAGGCTCTGGAACACATTGCCAATGGAGGTGTTCCCCGAGGCATATAACCTCCAGAAATTTAAGAAGAACACCAATTCCTAACTTATTTCCCTTGGTTCTCACGATGTTCTCTGAACATTACAGGATAACCCTTTTCATGGGGACCAGAACATAAAAACAATCATTCACAATTTGATTATTTGGAATGGATTATAATATTTTTATTTTATATTTTATTATAATTTGTTTAATGAAAAACAATCATTGCATTAAATTATTATTGTTTTGATTTAATTTGTATATATCCCTATTATAAACAATAATGTTTCTTGAGATAATAAAGACAATCAATCAATAAAAATCATCACAATTTATATAGCATGATCTGTGAATTTTGACATCCATGATGAGATGAGAGAAATCAACTTCCAAAGAGTTGAAGAAAAAATATGATATGTAACGCGTGTATAAACTTCTCTAGACACTCGTTTATTCAAAATTAATTACTAAAAGCACGTTTATTACACTTGATATATACAATATCTATCAGATCTTACTAGGTTGATTATAAGTGTGTCCATAAAATAATGCATTAATTCATTTTAAGCTGGATCAACAATACAATTGAAAATTCCATATATAGGTCGATTACTGATTGTTATTTAGTGTTTTTCAAAAAGTAATATACACAGGGTGAACCTCCTTTGTCTGATGATTTCACCACTCGTTGCTCTAAATCGGTACAAGGTGGGCAAACACAACAATTGTTTATGAACATTCAAGCTGTGGATTTTTTTCATCTGTGATTTCACCACACGTTGATTCAAGTCAGTACAAGGTGGGCAAACATACAACAAATTATTGTACAAAATGTTGTATTGAAATATAACATTTTGTACAATCAATTGTATATCTACACGTGCACACAGCTAATTAACCCTCACAAAAACAACAGTTGCTTATGACCATTCAGGCTGTGGATTTTTTAAAAACTTTTGGGGCGCATGAAACAGTATACCTATTATGTTTGGGCTACATCGTGCGTTCCTAGCGAGGATAGGAAGAGGAGGCAGTTATTAGGATTTATCATATTTTGGAGTCTCTAAGTTCTTAGAAAAACTTCATTTGGCAAGAATTCCGAAGCCGTGTCGTTCTATAGAAAAACGCGCCCTGATCACTTGATGATCCGAGATAGGTTATAGTTCTATAGTCCGTGAGTATAAACTGTGTACATACCTTTTAGGGACACCGTATACAGGGTGGCAACTTTTTTAACGGGATTGTATTTTTACTTCCAAACCATACTACTTAGAAGGTCGGTTGAATGGAGAAAAAGTTGCGTATCAGGAAGCATCATCTAGCGGTTAAAACTAAAATATCTGGGCCGGTTCTTGAGATATCAACGAAAAAACTAAATTTGATCATCTCGGTTTTTTTGTTATCCTTCATTTGTTTTCATAACTACCGGCCCTGATATTTTCGATTAGTTAAATCCAAATTTCATTTGAAATCATCTTGCTGATATGAGCTGTGGGGTTTCTATAGCCCAGTGATGGTTATAATGCCTGTTGATCCGCAATTGTAAAATCTTGTTTCGTCAATCCATAACATTTTCATCGAAAAATTGGGATATTCTCGCATATTTTGAATGAAAATCATTTGCAGATAATCCTTGTACCATCCTACACTTGTATGGATGGTATTTATTATCGCTCATTATTCGATAGGCAGATGACTTAGGGATGTTCGTTTCATCACCAATCTAACCTATCCTGTAGGGTTATTAACAGTGTATTGTAACATAGCATCAATCGTCTCTTTTCTACAGCATGTTAACGATTTATGGGTTTCCCAAAATTCCCATAATTCAGTATCTGCTCCCTAAAATGTCTTGTGTTTGGTTGATGTCGTTCAGGTTTTTCTTTCATTATGTTCCGCAGCCGCTGCAGAGTTTCTGTGGGCTAGGAAATAGGTTTCTAACGTTTAATTTCTCTTCATTAGTATAATTGAGACATATTTCTAATGGTCGGGTATTTTAAATTTAAGATGAACAAAGAAATGCAATGAAAACACATAAGACTAATCAATCTGACAGTTCCAAGATGAACAAATTGTTGGTTCGCTTACTAGACCGTAACGAACACAGCTGTTAAATTGATTAGACCATCCCATTCTTGTTCTCTAGAACCAATCAGAATCGACCAATTTCCCGATTTTTCCTGTATTACAGCGATATTTTTTGTTCAATAAAAATCATCGGACTTGCTCTACCTATCCAGAAGCCGAATTGATCCACACGTGACCAACCAACCTCGTTTTTCAGCGAATAAACTTGAACGTTTATAACGTCAGTTATAATTAGTATTCAATTTTGACGGCAGAATATTTGAACAAATAGAGAACCTCAAGTTATCGAAAGACTTTAGCCGACTTATAAACTGTTGACCCGCGACACAGGGTTTATCAATGTTCTAAGTCGGTATGCCATTTAAGGGACCCAATCACTTAGTCCAAGTTAACAGGAAGGAGTGCCTCGGAGAGTCGCAACCCAGTCCTTGCCCCGGCACTGACCTCACCTTTCGGTTGGAAAAAAGTTCAAAATTTTGTTTAAGAAGAAGCTCGGCAATGAAGTGCAATGATCTTAACTCACGAAAATTGGGGCGCTTGCCGGTTTACATATGCCTAGGTCACTCCCCAAGGGCGGCATACGAACCGGAAGTGGCAGTGTTATAGTCGATGATCTAAGAATGTATGCCCTTTGGCGAAACAATGAATTCGAGTTTCCCGACATTTGCATACGATTCCGGAGAGGGGAGCTCGACTTATTAGAACATCAATTGACTGGACATCTTTCAAATAATCGATGATTTAAGTTCGTATGCACATCTCTGGACCGATGAACTAGGATATTCTGTATAACTGGATGCTATGCATACGAATTCAATGTGAGCATACGTTGTAATAATCGGGCAAACCCGCGCGTGCCTCGGTCCGGCGCGGCGCCCCGCACTGCAGGCCAGAGGTGCACCGAAAGGGAACTAGATAATCTGGAAGTCTAATGATCTCACTTCACATGAAACCGGTTCAAAGATTAACTTCCTGGGAGTGATGGGGGTATTCGAAGACGCAAATTGCAGATATATTTGTATTTATTCATCAGAAATTTACAGCTCAACAAAATTACATGTGTGAGAGGTTTAGTACCAAGAAATTCTTTTGTGTGATTTCAATTTGAAAAACAGGCTTTGAAAAGATGATGAAAAAAATTGACGACAAAATACTCGCAGGATGATCAAGAGGGATCGTACAGGGAGAAGAGTGGTGGATTATTGCTCATGATCGAAACTCACAATAAATCGAATTGAAATTCTTCCCTGGGGCTTATGGGACTGCTTATCATAATACTGGCGTCTAAAAAATATATAAAGAATGTACATTTAATTTGTTGAATGTTTTGGGTATAGTGTGGGGTCTGCATCCTGAACTTTAATCTACATTTTTGTTTTTCACATAAAAAAAATTATTTGAAAATGAAATTATATTAAATGAAAACAACATTATATTTCAAAGGAAAAATTAAACTTCGTCCTCTCTATCATTATCTTCAGAATCATCTTAGATCTCGCTGTCTGAAGATGATTCTTCAGAGTTGTCATCAGTACCTGTCAGTAAGAATTTTATTTTGAATGGATATAATTATTGAAAAATCTAGGCATGATCGAAAGATATACCTGATACTTTCTCAGTTGAAGTCTCAGAGATTATGATGTCCAATTGAAATCGTACCCACCGTTCTCCAAAATCCATACCCAATCGAGGGGCTCGAGATCTGTTGGTACTTTGAGATAAGCTCCGCTCCATAACTGAGCTACGTAAGTAGCACGCAACTGCTGTTCCAACTCAGCCTCACAAGGCGGCAGCCGTGAAGAGTCGTACTTAGATAATTCATATTTCTGGCACAATTTGACAATTTGGCGCATGATCGCTATAAGAGTGCTGCATGTAAATGATATCGCTAGATGCTGTAGAGCTGTAATCGTCATGATAATCTGAACTCGATAGTGAAATAAAATATAGTGTTCCAGTAAAAAAAAATCAACAACTACCCCTTAGTTCATTTGTTATGAACAGCCTGTAAATTTTTCAATAACAATGAAAAATCTCTTAGGAAAATAATTTCAATTGGTTTTTGAAATTTTAAAATCGGTTCAGAAACAACAGAAACAAGTTACAATGGTAGA